CTTCGGTATGGAAAGCTAATACAAGTTTTTTCCTCGTCTAGTGTCCGGTTGCCTCTCTCGCCACAAGGATGCTGGTAAAGCTTTTCGGGCCAAGTTCTCAATTTCTGTATTTTTCTTATTATTATTTTCGTTTTGTTTTGGTTTTGGTTTATTGTCTTTATTACTTTGGGTTTGGATTGTTATTTTTTGGCGTTTTTTTATGGTTATTTTTGTCTTTGTGTATTTATCAGTGTTTTGCTTTTGTTGGTAACTTCATTGGTATCGTTTTCGTTATCGTTATTACTTGTTCTTTGTGATTTTATTTTTTATTTGTAACTGCCGTTATCTCCATTGTTATCGTTCAAACTGGAATAGTTTTTATAAATATCACATGCCTTAAAATTGCAAAGAAAGAAATTTACTTCTTTTAAATGCGGGTGTACACAGAATCAAACCAGTTTTCAAATACAATATCAAATCAGAAACAATAACTAAGAATATCAAATCCTATCAGATCAAATAGAAATTACCAAGAAATGCAGTGACAACTAATATCCTAGAATAATCAAATAAGGTAAATTAATAACCATTTTATGTTCAAAAAGTACAGCATTTACATTCAAATAATTTAGCTCAAATCATGTACTCAGCATATGAAAAGTACGTCAATCCAACTGAAACAATCATTATTTACCTCAACATCCTAAATAATATAGTTATATCCTCATACAAATTTAGACACTGCAAAATGAAAAAAAAATACTGCCCTGTAACAGCCTGATCTCTGATATATAAATCCATCATAGTTCATATGCAACAAAACACTCAAATTAACAAAATTCATTTCCAAATATTTAACGAGAACCATACCTTGCATGGATATGAATCTCCACGGTTGCCATTCAGGTTTAACATCACAATTTCTCCTCAAAAAGATGGTTCTGGGCAGCGTTCCAACACTCCTACGTGTGCCAAACAAAGCAAAGCATCATAGGGATACTCCTTATGAAAGATGAAGTGTACTTGAGTATTTGAAATACAGATATAACATATTGTAATTATTGTGAAATAGCAATTTTAATACATTCCCCCCTACCCCTCCCACACACACACACATCAACATCCATGATTGTTATTAGATATTATCAGAATTTTTGTTCTACTGGTTGCAGCACAAGAAGATGGGGCAGACCTATTACACAGGCGAACGCCAGCACTGGCGAAAGTTTTTAAAGTACGGCCCTAAATGAAACGTATCCATGTTGACAAATGTAGAAAAGGTATGAACGAGACTGGATATCTTCACAAAACAATAGATGTATTTGACCGGTTTCGATTACGTCTTCATCAGAAATACATGTATTTCTGATGAAGACGTAATCGAAACCGGTCAAATACATCTCTTGTATTGTGAAGATATCCAGTCTCATTCATACCTTTTCTACTATTTACTAAAGTAGCTTCCTGGCCTGCATAGCAATTACACGGTTTCTTTGAATCTCACTGTCGCATCTTGGACCTTCCCATCTTGACCAGGGATTGCCTTTATAATTTCTGCAATTTTCCTATTTGCCAAGAACGCTATTGCTATCCTGCACTAGTACTATATCTCCAGGTGTTAGATTTCTCCTATCTATGTGCCATTTTTGCCTAATGATCAAAGTCGGAGAATAATATCGTTGCCATTTTTTCCAAAGGGAGGATACGATATGTTGCATAAACTACATCCTCTTCACTGGGACACAAGTAGGATCCTAAAGTGGGATCATTACCAGGCTTCGTTCCTATTAGCCTCTCATTGATTAAATTGGATATTTCAAAGAGAACAGTCAGTAGTTCACCAAAATTAATGATATTCTTCCCAACAGATGGCAGTAGCAATCGCTTCACTGACTTCATTAATGGCTCATTACATCCATTCTCCCATGGGGCATCAGCTGATTCATTAAAGGACCACTTCAAGCCCCTGAGCCAAAATTCCAAATTCTTGACAACCCCCCACTCCTTTACCATCAATTTTACCGTCAGCTCCTTATTGGCTGCAAAAGGCTGAATTCCTCTGTCAGAATATAATGTCTTGAAAACCTCTAGTTGTAGCAGATCTTCGGAATGCTGCGAGAAAGCTCTCAGTATCACACCCTTCAGCCATATCTAGATGAATAGCTCGACTAGTCATACAGGTAAATGTGACGTCATAAATATTGATAGATCTGATTATATACGCAAAGCTCATTTCCTTTGCACGACAACTCTTTGTATCCAAAACTGCGTTCCAACCCTTACCCCACGGTAGTTAAATCTTTTCGTTAAAACCTCAACCGTATTGCTTCTAAATGGCCTGACCCCCAATTTTTTTTATCGCTTTAGAACGGTTAATCCATCGATTCCGTATTTTTATGGCCTTCCTAAAACTCACGAAGAGGCGTTCCGCTAAGGCCTATTATTTCGTCTTGTAACTCGGTCACCCGACCATTAGATTCTCAGCTAGCGAGCGTTTCGTCTCCTCTCATGGGATCCATTTCTGATAGTCATATTAAACATTCGATTTCATGGATAAAGTTGGAAATTTGCCGACGCACGGTAAGAAACTTGTTAGTTTTGATGTGGATTCCTTATTTACAAATGTCCCGCTTGACGATGTGCTAGATTTTCTTGAAAGGAAACTTTCTTCGTTTCGTCAGAGGATCCCTATTCCGGTCAATTGTTTTATCGATCTCATTCGATTGTGTGTTACAAATGTCTTTTGACAGCAGTTTCTATAAGCAAATACATGGTATCACGATGGGAAGTAGCCTTAACCCGGTTCTTGCTTATTTATATATGGAAATGTTTGAATCTTCCGTCAATCCTCCCGCCGGACACGATTTAATTCGCTATGTTGATGACATTTTTTCTATGTGGCAAATTAACCGTTCAGATTTCGGTGATTTTTTCAATATACTAAATAACCTCGCTCGTACTGTTAACTTTAAAGTAGAATGGGAAGACTCAGACAAATTACCTTTTCTCGACGTTCTTTTATCCAATGTAAATGGCTCGCTTAACTTTTCAGTTTAACGTAAGCCCACCCACACCGCTAATTATCTTCATTTTTTTCTCGAATCACCTGCTTCATATTAAGAAATTAGTTGTCTCGTCAATGTTCCTGAGGGCTTATAGGATTTGCGATAACGAATTCATCGATCGTGAGCTTGACATAATTTTTGAGACATTTTCAAAATTAGGATTTCCTCGTTTTTTTCTTAAATCAGGCACATTTATCTGCGAAATGGAAATTTTATGATCATTCCCGTAACATACAACAGGAATAGTGCCAAAAATCAAAATTATTCCTTACAACCCGTCTCTCGATGAAAAACGCCGTATGTTTAAAGGAGTTGGCATTGACATTGTTTTTACTTACCCGAACACGTTGCAGAATACTTTGATTAGGCATGATATAACTAGCGGTGCTCTTGATAACTCTCCAGGTATTTACACGTCCTTGCAAGGATTGCCCGAAATTTTACATAGGCGAAACCGGCAGAACTTTTGAAAAAAAGAATTAATGAACATAGACGTGATGTCAGATACGCCAGAGAATCTAATGCTTGTTTTATTCATTTACGTGATGCAGGACCATTTTAAATTGAAAAACGCCAAAATTAATTCATAGATCGTCAAATTCGGACGAGAGAAAATAATTGAAGCCTTCTAATTAGAAAATTGCCTTTTAAAATTTGAGTGCTGGCCAATGGGGATTAGATGATATTACCTCATCCCTTGTTAGCCAGTGATTCTTCCTTCCCAGACTCTTCGACCTTGACCCTCCCCTGAGACCTGATTCGTATCTTGTTCATTGTCTATCACTATATAAACGTCAAAATTCTCTCCTGGTATTCATTTCACTTTTTGTCTGAAGAGGAACTCGTGAAGAGTTCGAAACGTCACGCTTATTTTCATTTCTCATTGTGGCTAGTTTCATTTTCATTTTTGTGTACACGTTATTGTGTTTGTGCTTGTGTTCATATACTTTTATACACATACGTATACATAAATATATAATTCATTCATTTACTTAATCATATATATTTTACACATATACCATTTCCTTACAAATCTACGTACATAAATATGCAATCCTATTTAGTTTCCCTCTCGGATCCAAATACATTTTTTTCTCGCAGATACGAACGATCCTCCGCAGCCGCAGATCCTCCCTCCTGCTGGCCCTGTGCTTGGGGTCCCTCGCGGCGCTCCTGCTGCCTGGACCCTCGAGCAACGTGGCGGAGGTGGCGAGGGAGGCGGACGGCGGCGTCGCGGTGCCTGGCCTGGCCGACGTCGAAAGGGTAGAGCGCCGTTGGGGGGTTTCTCGGGAAGGGAAAGAGCGGCCTTGCTTTGGCACGAGGACTTCGATTTTAATGATGGCGACAATCGTAATGATGATGATGATGATAATTATAACATTGGCGCAGAAATATCAGTATTAATGATGGCGACAATCGTAATGATGATGATGATGATAATTATGACAGTGTTTCTGATATCGTTATTTCCACCATCACCATCATTAAAAGCAATATCAGTACCAAAATAGTCATAATTGATATCACCATCATCATTCAATCATTATTTTATTAATTTGATCTCGTCAGTATCATTAATTCATCATAATAGTATTGCTACGAACGTTATTTAAATTTTTGATGAGGGTTATCATTATTGTTTAGCATTATTTCTATCAATTTTGAGTTTTGCTATCGTTTAGTAATATGATATTTTGATGTAATTCAACATAAAAAGAATGTGAAGGTATTCTAGACTGATATGTAATGGCACGCGGGATTATCTTCATCCTTGCATGTGCGATGAAATCTGATAGACGGATAAAACCCCCCCCAAAAAAAAAGAAAGAAAGAAAGAAAAAAAGTTAAAGGTCCTCAAAACGATTTTTTTTTCGAGAGCGGAGACATACGAACAAAGTAAAGTTACAGTGATGAAATGTATACAAAAAATCAAAAATCGAAAAAGTTTTCAAATATGCAGGCGACTTATTTTCAAAACTTTCGAAACTAGCAACAATAATAATAATAATAAAAAAAAGATCATTCAGATAATTCAGACAAAACATGCATCGGTGAAGTAGAAGCATGGTTAGAACATGAACAATTATGAACAGTAAGCAGACTACAAAGAGGCGTTGGTTACTTTTCACATCAGTTTTGGAACCAGTTATGTTTATTATTTCCAAAAACTAATCACTGATCGCAGACATAAAGTGAGCTTTCTTGTATTTTAGAAGAAACCATTAAAAAATATATCTTAAGGCCTACTCTGCAGTGTCCACTCTAGGAAGTACACAGATATAGATGATGAATTTTAGAGACGAATTATGCAGAAAGATTAAACAATTCAATTAAACTAAACTAAGCTAAAAGAGAGAAAGAAAAAAGGAAATGGGGTAACACAATTATACATAATATTTGTAAAAGAGAGAGAGAAAGAAGGAGAAATGGAGAGAGAAGAGCGAGAGAGAGAGAGAGAGAGCGAGAGAGAGAGAGAGAGAGAGAGAGAGAGAGAGAGAGAGAGAGAAGAGAGAGAGAGAGAGAGAGAGAGAGAGAGAGAGAGAGAGAGAGAGAGAGAGAGAGAGAGAAGAGAAGAGAGAGAGAGAGAGAGAGAGAGAGAGAGAGAAGAGAGACAGACAGAAGACAGACACAAATAAACCAATATAATATCTTCTAACAACTGAACCTCCCTCACAGGTAGGCCTACCGTGGTGGGATGGGGGTGAGTGCCGCTGCACAGACACCCGCTGCCAGCCTCCGCCCGCGCCCACGGTACCCAGGGAGAAAATGGGCGGCACCTGCGGGCTGAGGGCGTGGAGGGCGGGAGGAGGTCAGAAGGTCATATCATACGTTCTCTACGGGAATAATTCAATTTACTTTGAAGGATTTAAGAAGAATATTGATCGGGTGAGTGTTTGTTTTTGTTTTACATCTTTTTTTGTGTCCTTGTGTGGGATATCTTGGTTCTTGATTTAACTGTCAATCACTGTAGAGAAGTTTGCAGGTATCAGTTTAATGCGTAGATTCTTTTTACCTTAGTTTGTTAGCGAGTAAGGCTATGGTCTTGCTGGACCCAGGACCTCTGACGTCATGCAACATGCGCATGCGTCCATAAATGCAATGTTGCCAAACTGGCCAAGACTAATTCATTGTTGCCAAATGTTGCGCAGTGCGTTTTTTTCTACTTTAGTTTGTTAGCGAGTAAGGCCTATCGTCTTGCTGGCACCCAGGACCTCTGATGTCATGCGGCCATGTGCATGCGTCCATAAATGCAATGTTGCCAAACTGGCCAAGACTAATTCAATGTTGCCAAATGCACGGTGCTCACAAAACATTAGGTTAAGTACAATAGGAGGCATAAGTAAACAATCAAACAAATCCAGGATGTGTGACCGAGTCTTTCCTCACATATTCACACTTCCCTTTCCCCTCACGCTCATATCGGAGTCTCGAGCGGCTTTGTTTCTTAGCCTTTCTGACCTTCGAGGCATAGTAGAAGAGAAATATACTGAGGACACTTCGTCCAAGCAAGGGACCACAGGGATATGGGGGAAGGGGGAGAGCACTAGGGTCAGGGATGACGTGTAAAAACGGCGGTTATGCCACCACACTCTGCCGCTGGGGAGTCTGACCTTAAAATCAAGGGTCCTGCCGCAGCCCATGACGACCCCAACCTTGTCCCAACGGAGAGTGGTAGGGTTCTGTATATGTATGCTGACTCAAAGGGCTTGCATGGGATATCGTGACACAGCTTTTGTTCCTATTGTTGCCTTGGCTTAAATGGTACTGGTAATATTAGCATCAATACCTGGCCAGAAAAAAGTCTGCCATACCCGGCGCTTAGTTTCTTCAGCACAGGAATCACTATCCGTTGACCGTATAAGACCAAATCCCTGTCAGTGTAGAGGCTATCGCAAAACTCCCAGTAAGGAAGTAAGGAATTTGCAATGAGTATCAGTTAGAAGGGAAGGCAGACGTAACAATGATAAGGGGCAAGGGTCCACTCTGGCTGCTATCCAGAGTTCTTCAAGTTATGCTGAACGAAAATAGTCGGTCTCTCCAGCCCCACTATCGGCATCAGCTCTGCTCCAGTGCCAGCCTCAAGGCTTCACTCCTTCAGTGCCTGTTTCAGCTCCTTCGGCTACTTCGGCATCGACTTCAGAACCTGCTTCGTCATCTTCAACACATGTTTCAGCACATACAGCAGTTCCAGCTCTACAACCTGCTTCCCAGCGCGACCCCTACACAGGGAAGACAGGGACTACTGCAAATGTTGATGCTGAAGATAGAGGAAATGATGCTCATGATGCAGCAACAATTTGCTCAGCTACTACGACACCAGCTGACAACTGATGGCCCACAGTGACTGAGTGTACCACAGTGGAACATTAAGATTTATGGAAACTTCATTTTTGTAAAATCATATATATGTTGTTGCTTTTTAATTATTAGATAACAATAAGGCGAACGCTAAGGTGCACCCCTTTAGGCATGTATTTTTAATGTTTTACTTTGGCTATTAAGTCAACATGTTCAGCCATATTGGATAGATGCTTGGACATCTTTCCCTAGCTTTTTACAGGCATGAAAACTGCTGTATATATATATATATATATATATATATATATATATATATATATATATATATATATATATATATATATATATATATATATATATATATATATATTATATATATATATGTATGACTTATATATATTTTTTCAAATAAAATCAAATTAAAATTGCATATCCACAGGAAATCAACTAATAAACGAATATATTTATCAGGTAAATAGGCGAATGAATGGATAAGTAAATGAAGAAAGGAAGACGTAAAAGAGAATGAATAAAGATATACAATTTTATCTATTCATTCGCCTGTGTATTCATTTCACGTTTTCTTTCTGTCTTTTTATTATTTATATTAGTATTCCTTTCAAAGAATCATAATCAACCTCCTATCACCAACCCCCCCCCAAAAAAGACCCCCTCCCCCAAAAAAAGAAATAAAAAACAGCCAATTCACCCTCTCTCCTACCCCTACCCCTTCCAGATTCGCCTCGTATACCCCGGGTGGTCAGTGTGGCTGTACACCGACCCGCGAGGACAACACGACTTCCTGTGCCCACTCCTACGGGACTATCCTTACCTGTATGTCTGTGACGTGACCAACCTGCCGACCCTCGGAACAGAACTGACATGAGGAGGAGTGGCGAGCTCTGCCGATTGGAGACCCGAATGTGGATGTGGTTTTGTCCAGAGATACGGATGCCAAGGTGATGTGGATGGGTTCAGGGTGATGTGGAGATGGAGTTTGTGGTGATAAGGGTGGTGGTAGTAATGATAATTCAGTATATGTTGATAATGATAATAATAATGGTAATCATGATTATGAAAATAGTCAAATTATAATAGTAATGATGATGATGACAATTAAAAATGATAATAATAATCATAATAATAATAAATGACAATGCTAATAATAAAACTCAAAAATAAAATAAACAACAGCACACCACCAGCAACACAGCTACCATAAAAGAGAAAACAAAAAACAAACAAAACAAAAGAAAACTAAACAAGCCCCTCCTCGCGCACAGATCCTGGAGCGCGAGACAGCCGCCGTCCGGGAGTGGCTGAGGACGAACCGCTCCTTCCACGTCATGAGGGACCACCATAACCACTGCGCCCACGTGATGGGGGGCATGTGGGGCATGAGGATGGATGTTGCGGATAGGAAGCGAGGAGGAGGAGGAGGGGAAAAGGAAGGAGGGAGAGAAGCAGGAGGAGAGGAAGAAGGACGGGGTGGAAAGGAAGGCGGTGGCAAAGAAGAGAAAGGTGAAAATGGAAAGGGAAAGGAAGGGGAAGAAAAGAATGGCAAAGAAAATGCAGAAGGAGGAGGAGGAGGAGGAGGCACCGAAGCCCTCTCCTCCTCCAGCAGGGACTTCTTCGCCTTCGTCAGAAATAGCATCATACAGCACGGATCAGAGTCCCATAAGGATGATATTGACCAAGGCATCTTCGCTGTGAGTTGCGAGCTATCTTTATTTTACTTATCACTGTTAGTTTTATTTATCATTATCATTTTATCATTACTATTATTTTGTTACTGTCTTTATTATCATTGTTATATATATATTTTTTTCTTGTTATTATTACTTTTGCTATTATTGTTGTTTTATTATTTTGTCATTAGTTTTCTTAGGTTCATTTTTATTCATTAACATTCTTTGAAGATGTGATTTTCATTTTGTATTTTCATCATTAATTAAATTATCTCCTTTGATTTTTTTCTAAGAAGGCATTCTTTTAATACTGTTCTACTTATTCGAATACTTTAAAAAAATATTTTAACTATTCTGTTACTGTCATTATTAATTCAGATGTTTCAGTGATTATCAGTTGAAAAAAATAAATAGCTTTTGATATTCTTTTAGAAGCATTGATGCTCAATTCTATAAATTAGAAAAAAATGTATATATGATTCTAAAGATACTTTGTAAATGACTTTTTAAGCAGTTAAAAACAGTAGTTGAGAACCCTCCTTCAAACACAGCAACATAAACAAAACACATTCCTACACATACTGATATTAAGATATTTAATTGATATCTCTACCCTCACACACTCAACACCCATCCCCAAAAAACACTTGACTGACTGATTATTAAATATTATCTAAGCTAAGTTAGTCAGATAATATCTTGTGGGATTAAAATATTTAAAACGTTTAATATATCTAAAACGTTTAAAAGCTTCTAACTGACCTCGTTTCCCTTTGCAGAAAGTGCTCTGGTCAACGTTTAAGACTGACCTCGTTTCTCACAGTAGCTTCTGCTGTGAAAAATTTCCTGAAGGTTTCACTCCGTTTCCGACACAGCGAGTCGAGAGGTCCTTTGTGGGGAATAAGGAGTAAGTGTATGTGGCAACTTGGGTAAATAACGAGTAAATTAGGAATAGAAGTTGTAAATAGCCATAGAAATTGATATGATGAATAAACCTCTCCAATAGGGACTCGAACCCTCACTGTTGCAAGCAGCCAGTTGCAAAACGAATACTCTACCAATGAACTGCGTGACCCACTAAAATAGTGTGCAACTAGGTGCTAACTAGCTTCCATAATTACCTATCTACTCATACGCGAGTAAGGATAGCGAAGTTTTACACACACTCACTTTAGGCACTCGGTAGATAGTGATAGAGCAGTTCAAATCCGAAATCCGAAATCCTGATGTTTATTTAATGAAAGATGGAATAGAGCACTATGATGAAACACATGGGGAGTGTGTGTAAAACTTCGCTATCCTTACTCACGTGTTAGATAGGTAATTATGGAAAGTAATTAGCTCTTAGATGCACAATCCTCTTAATGGGTTACGTTGCTCAGTGGTAGAGCTTTCGTCCCACAGCTGACTGCCTGCAACAGTGAGGGTTCGAGTCCCTATCGGAGAGGTTATTTATTCATCACATTAATGCGGTAGTGCATTATTCCATCTTCATTAATAAATATATAAATGAATATAAAAAGCATAAAATCAATTATGGAAATAGACGAATAATTTACATAAGATAAGTGTATAAATAAAGAAGAATCTAAATAAACATTAATGAGTTATTAATTCCATATAAATAGGTAAATAAATTAGTTATAAATAAGGAATGCGATGTGTTAGGTTGTCTAATTACTGTTCATTTCTTTATCATCATGTTTTTAATCATTACCATGTGTTCGTTTCTCTCCCTCTCGACCCCAGCTACAGTAAACATCCGGAGGGCTTCCAGGTGCGATTCGCGTGTCCGAAAGCGTGCCGGCATCCCGAACACATGGACTGGGAATTTTGCTGAACGAAGCCACCTGAGTGTTGTGTTCGGTGTAATGGAGCTTGTTAGTGACACGTTGTTAGCGATGTACAAGAGTAAAGGTTTATCACGATTGTTGTTTGTGTTTGAGGTCCTGTTATTCTCTGTTTGGTGGTGATGACAAGGAGAGAAAAAGCACTAATAATATTAGTACAAAGTGATGATCAGTATAAAATGGTGAGTTTTATATACATTATTGATCAATTAATGATAATGAAAGCACCACATCAGCAGTCGACTTTGATGAAATGATGATAATGATGATTAGAGAATATTAATTAAAAATGAAATGATAACGTCAGTTTTGATAATAGGTATGATAGCACTATTATGATAATGATGTCAATAATGATGTCAATAAGAATATGATTCATACATTGATAACAGTCGTAGTCATAGTAATAGCAGTTATTATTGTAGCAACAGCAGTAGTAGTAGTAGAAGTAGTTGCGAAAATATATATATAATATATATATTATATATATATATATATATATATATATATATATATATATATTACTATTAATTACGCCAATGAATCACCCTGCCTGGAGGTGGCTGCTCACTCAGAGGTGAGAAGACCTGGCAGTGGCAGTGTAGGTGGCTGTACCTATTACTGGTCAGGCCCTAGCGACGGTCACCACCTTCAGGAAGTAGCTGTGGCCATCTCCAGCAGACTCTATACACAAAGACACACACACATATTTATGTATGTATGTATGTTGTGTGTGTGAATATATATATATATATATATATATATATATATATATATATATATATATATATATAATATATATATATATATATATATATATATATACTACAGCATGTACATGTCTATATCACTTAGGAGAGCGAGTGAGCGGGCGAGAGTCCCCACAGGTACCGCGGTCGCCGGAGAGGAAGGCCAGTCCTGCGGGGGAACGAGAGGCTCCCGGGGCTGCGGCTGATCTGCGCTGAGTCTGTCGGGTCGCGAGGCGAGGCTGAGTGCGGCCCGGAGTTCGGAGCCGGAATAGTCTTAGGCTCCGGTAGCTAATCGGCGCACGAGTGAGCGAGGAGGACAAAGGTGTGGACCTTTTGGGACCCAACATGGGGTTGTATATATATATATATATATATATATATATATATATATATATATATATATATTAATATAATATATATATATATATATATATATATATATATATATATATCTGTGTGTGTGTGTGTGTGTGTGTGTGTGTGTGTGTGTGTGTGTGTGTGTGTGTGTAATGCAAGCCTTTGCGTATATGCGTTGTCTGATACCCCCCCCACACACACACAAAAAATCTTTAATCAGAATTTAATCAAAGAATTTATTCCCAAAGCAATTGGCAAAACCAGATTAGAATTAATTACATGCAGTCTTTCTTCTCCTCTTATGCACCCATCCCACTACCCACGCAGAAGAAAAAGAGAGATAATAAGAAAAAAAGAAAGAAAAAAAATCAGGGCATCAGCTTACGTCAAGGGAAGAGCCTGAGAGAACATGAGATTTTTTTTCTTTGTTTTCTTCTCTCTCTCTCTCTCTTTTCTTTTCTTTACTTCTCCCTCTCCTCCTGTTTTCTTCTGACTTTTCTCCTTCTATTTCCT